ACTGCATGGAAAGCAAATGAATGAATGGTCACTGATCATTGTGTGCTTGTTCCAGCATTTGGCGTGGTAGACTTGTGCATTAGGTAGACTTATGCCTTAGACATATGCCTTAGGGACTTTTTATCCATTCACCGTTGATAGACTGGTTTTGTTATAGGTTGTCTAGCCAGAAGCTAACTTTCTCAGAACTTACTGACTTTGCGAAGTGAGTACTTAAGATACAGAATTGTGTGGATGTGTGGGTACACAGTGCAGAGAGTCTCATGAGAAGGAATGATGAAAGCAGGAAAGTTCAATACAGGCAAGGTGGGTGGGCAAGTATAGACCCAAAAGAGTCAAAGGTAGACCAGTACTATCCAAGGATGGTTTGAAATTTCAATTTGAATGTGAAACAGGGAAAAGAGTAGAAGTCTTGGATTGAACATGAGCCAGAAAAATTCCTTGTTCTCAGGAGAGTCCATCCTTGTGTCCTATTCTTCACCTGGTTGGACGGGACCCAACCACATTAGGGAGAGTAATCTGCGTTGCTTCATCTATTGAGTCAAATGTTAATCTTGGGCTGGGAAGATAGCCCAGGTGACAGGATACATGTCTAGCCTGGGCTGAAACCCTGAGTCCTATCACTGCCGCCACATGGACCCCTCTCACTCCTGAGTCCCACCAGTTATAGCCCTGTTGGCCCCTGAGCATCACCCAGGAAGACCCTATAAAAAAAAGTCCCACTCAGAAACACCTCACAGACTAGTGGTTGGAGGAATGGATGAGGGTCTGGGAGCTCCGTGGTCTCGTCAAGTTGTCACATGAATGGCCCCTCCTCACAAGAATGACAGAACATTATTGGAGACACAAAATGAAAAGAGTAGGCTGACAGGAGACATGTAGGAGGAAATGATGTACCACGCCTCCATCCTTGTGATAACCATATCTGCCACTGCAGCAGCAGATGGAATTATAGTATGGTTACGTTGTAGCTGCCCCCATGGTGCTAGAACTACAGGAATGATCCAAGTCTCTTCCTTGTTGCATGACCCTAGCCTACATATTGGGATAGCCTTAGATTCCTCTGGGAAAGGTTCAGAGGAATCCACCAAGATGATTGCCATTCATTTCTCGACTCAGCATAAAAAAAAGTTTTGGTCTCAACACTGGAACAACAAACTTAAGACTTTTTTAGTCTGGTAGGAAAGAGAGAGAAGGAAGATATGGATATGATGGGGAATAGATGCTGACATGCAAATGAGCACTGGGTCCTGTTCAAGAAAAAAGGAGAATTCCAAACACAGCCTAAGAGGTCCCATGGAGAAAGATCAACCTCATGAGTGTTTTCTGGGAAATGGGTAGTTAGAGAGAAAGGCTATCTTGGGACTGAAATGATGGGGTTGACAGACAGAATGGCACCTTTTAACAGCAGAGAATATATGGAGGCAAACATTTAGGGAAGTCTATAGTTTGGTTAGGGGGCCAGGTATATGGCTCAGTGGTGAGTGTACTTGCTTTGCAAGTCTGAGGTCCTGTGTTCAATTCCCAGCAGCACACAGGCACATGCATGAGTTTGGTTAGACAGTGTTTCTCAGCTCTAGCAGCACTTTGGCATTACAAGAAAGTATTAAAAAAAATTGCACGCCCAGACCATGCCTGACATCAACCCCCAGAAATGTTAATGTCACTGTCCCACAGAGGTGCCAAGGCATTGGTGTTTTTTCTGTAAAGCGCTGCAGGATGTAAGAGAGGCTTTTGGAGAAGGTGAACTTGGAGGGGCCTGTTGTGTGAATATGTCAGGGTTGGGGGCTATTCCTGCTAGCATGTGGCCCAGAATCAGAACTGGCTTTGCAGAAGGAGAAAAGATGCATGCGGAGCTCAACCGAGAAATAAAGACCCACTTGCTGATCCCCAGCTGGGCCTGCGGTTGCCCTCGTAACTGCTCCTGTTGAGCTGTTGTTTCTTATTTCCCTTTCAAAAGTAAAACTCAAGTGGCAAATAACAAAACATACAATGAAAGAGATAAACTGAGAGATTACTCAATAAAAAGAAATGATAGAGTAGTAAACACAGTCGCATTCAGTTAAGGCTTCAAAATTCATCCAAGACAATCAACTGCATTAGTAAGGACTGGGGTTGAAAGGGAGAAGAACTGGGGTTCTTGCGGCGGAGGGAGATGGATGCACTGGTGATGGGATGGTGGATGTGGCCATTGCTACCAAGAGTCAGGGCCCAAACACAGTAGCTGAAGTGTACCCATTCAAAGAGCAAGGGGGCATTACCATTATACAGTTTTACAAAATGACATCCGAGTGAAAGGAAGTATGAGGCTGGCAGTGGCATAGGGTAACATCTTCATTTTGTAGAGGAGAATGTGGAAGTTTCATGTCAAGTCATGGAACTCAGGCTTCCTAACTCTTTCCAGGGCCCAGACCTCTCCTCTGGCACTGCTGCGCATTGGCGTCATCAAGGATAGGATGCTTTTAAGAAATTCCAATGCCAAAAAATAAAAAAGAAATTCTAATGCCAAATTCTCCAATGACTACGTGCAAACAGCTAATATGAGTGTGTGTGCGCGCATGCATGTACCTTAATCATTTACGGTTACAAATCATCAGAGAAGTGCAAATCAAAACCACAATGAGATATCACCTTGCAACTGTTTCAATGGCTGTTATAAACAAAACAAAACAAAAGATGGCAAATATTGGCGAGACTGTAGAGAAATTAGACCCACTGTCGGTAGAGACACAGAATGAAATAGCTGCTGTGGAGAACAGGATGGAGGTTGCTCGGAACATTAAAATTCTAACCCCCAATAATTCAGTGATCCCATCTCTGGGTATTTATTTAAATTCTAAATAGGATCTCAAAAAAGATATTAGTACCCTCATATTCATTGCAACAAGACTCACAATACCAAACATGTGGAAGCAATCAAAGTCTCCACTGACAGAAGAATGAAAAAAGAAATGTGGTATGTAAACATAAAGGTTTACTATTCAGCCTTAAAAAAAAAAAAACCAAGAAAATCCTGCAATAAGCTGCCCATGAATAAAACTCAGAGCAAGTACTGAGTTAAATAAACTGCACGATTCCCTCACTGGAGGAAGTGGAAATGGTCAAGTTCATTGAATCAACAGTGGTTGCTAGGGACTGTTGGTGTCAGGGAAAGGGGGGAGTGAGGATAGAAAAGTGCAAATCACTGGACATAAAGTTTCAGCAAATTAAGTTCGATCAGTACCAGAGACCTGTTGGACAATATACCTAGAGTCATGGTGCTTTACTGCACACTTCAAAATTGCGAAGAGGCTAGGTCTCATGTTAAGTATTTGTACCAAAGCAAAACTTAAAAAAAAAAAAAAAGGAATCTTGGAGTGATGCTGAACCAGCCTCCAGCCCTAACCTGGTTGGGTTGGGGTGGGGTCCAGACAGATGGGGTGCCAGATGTTGGCATCGACTACTCTAAGTACTTGTACCTAGTCCCAAGTACTAAAAACACTGATCAGGATGTTTCCCATGACGTTATTTCCCCTTGCAGAGTGAGGACACTGGACGGTTAAGTCACTTGTTCTGGGTGACAGTTGGTCACTAGCGCCCGTGTTGGTGCCCAGGTCAGTCAAATATCAAAGACCCTCTCTCACTGTTGTGCTGAGGCCCTCCAGGAGAGAGTTCCTGTGGAGTGTGGACGTGAGTGTCACGTGTCCTTTCTCACTTTTCTGTCTCTCAGACACAGGGTCATCAGCATCACCTTGGTTCCAGGTCTGTCCTCAGGGAACTGTCAACTTCCAGAGAGAGATCCTGGGGGTGATTTTACCTCAGCACTGCAGGAGAATTTTCTTTTTCTTTCTTTTCTTTTTTTTTCTTTTTGGGTCACACCTAGTATTGCTGGCTCATGCACTCAGGAATTACTCCTGGTGGTGCTCAGGGGATCTTATGGATGCTGGGAATTGAACCTTGGTTGGCCACGTGCAAAGCAAATGCCCTACCCGCTGTGCTCCAGATCTGAAGAAGAATTTTCTATTAGTGAGAAGAGTTCAGCAGAGAAGGGCTACCAGGAGTGGCGGTTATGTGTGGGTCACGTCCTGAAGGATCTGTGGGGAGAAGAGAGTATGTGTGTGTTTGTGAGCCTGTGTGTGAGTGTGTGTGTGAGTGTGTGTGTGCAGCTGTTGAGCTCAGCCACTCTCCTTCCATGTCCTTAGATGCTGAAACGGAGATGCCCAGGTGAGCCAGTCAAAGCTCAGGGGGTGAAAATGGTTCTAGAAGGTGAGCTCACAGAACGAAGGAGTTCCAGAAGGCCCTAGGCCAGTCTAGAGCCTGCCTCCCTGATCCTCTTCCACGCCAGGTGCCAGGGTCCATCTTAAGCTGAAGCAGAGTTTGCCTTTCTCTGTGGCTGGAAGGCCCAGTGGGACTGGAGACCTCCTGTCAGTAGGGACACCCATGTGTGACCTTGGGCGACTTGTGAAGGTCAAGGACAAGGGTGGAGACTGTCCAGAGAGCCAGTGATCAGCTGGATGGAGGCAAACCAACGGGCTGAGGGGAGCTGCTGGGGAGCAGAGGTGTCTGTGTGGGGAAGGTGCGGCCGGAAGTGGTGACTCAGGCCTTGTGTGAGGGAAAGGAGCAGCTGACATGGAGGGGTCTGGGGGCTGGTTGGGGAGAGATTGTTCAGGCTTGGAGGAGGGGAGGGGTAGAAGAGAGAAGGTCCCTGGCATGGAGTTTGGGCTGGCCCTGGCCTGTGGGTGCCTTTGGATTCACTTACACTTAGGGCTCCCCACTAGCAGGGGCCTCTGGGGGTCTCGACAATCAATGGTACCAAACATGGATCTCTGCATGGTTCCTCTTGTTCCCCCAACTGGGGTAGGTGCTTCTAACGCAGGATGGTGGGGGCAGAAGGGTTCTCAGGAAAGCTTGCCCAGGAGCACCGTGGCCGAGACCTCCATCCATCCTTCTGGCCACAGTGCCGGCTCCTCCTCCCGTGTGCCCCTGGAACACTGAGGCCCCGTTTCTCTGCTTTTCTCAAGGGAGCGTGGACTGAGCCGCCGGGCCTCTCAGTGTGGCTGGGGCTCGGCATCGCCCGCACGCATGAACACCCGGAGATGGGCCCCCCGGAGGTCGCGATGCCCACTGGGCATCCTGCTGCTGGCCTCTCTGCTCGCCTCCTGCCAGGCCAAGGTCTACAGCCGTTGTGCTCTGGCCAGAGTGCTGCAGGATTTCGGCCTCGAGGGATACCGGGGGTACAGCCTGGCTGACTGTGAGCACCCCTGCCCTTTCCCCTTCACACCATCCCAGGGAAGGGGGGACGCAGGCACCCTCCCAGCCCCCTCTCTCCCCTCTTCAGTCAAGGTCGGGAGCACTCTGAAGACCCTTGAGCCTCGTTTCCCCTTTAAAGCAAAGACAAGAGGGAGTGTTCCCCCTTCCTTCCCCAAGTTACTCATAGAATGGGGGGCACCAGGCCGGTGAAGTAGGATGACCCCCTTCCTGTTCCCCACAGGCCATAGTGGGGAGCCAGAGGAATGGCCCAGTTTGACACCTTGGTCTGGGTGCATCTGTTTGGGGTCACCCCAGCAAACCAACAGCTCCCAACTTCTCAGGCCAGCGATGGCAGCTTCCAGAAGCTGCAGGGGTAGTATTGCTACTCATCACTCCCTCTTTCTCCAGGCCTGTCCCCTCCCAGGGTTCCAGCCTTACCTTCCTCACCTCACTGAGCTCTGCCTACCCACCCCAATGTTTACAGGGTTCTGCTGGGCGCTGTCCAGGCCAGAATGGGGAAGATTAGGGGAGGGGCCGTAAAAGTCAGCCCCCGGGGCCAGTCTTGGCTCTTGCTCTTTGGTAGATGACCTTGATTGAGCCACTTGGCCCTTCCAGGGGCTCCGGGGTGACAGGTGGGAGGCACTTGGTGAAGCTGCTGGCACTGAGGTGTGCAGATGGCCAAGGGCCTGTGCGCGAGCACTCTCTCGGCAGTGAGCCTGCACCCTCTCTGACCCCTGTGCTGTGTCTCCATCTTATGCAGGGGTCTGCCTTGCTTATTACACAAGTGGCTTCAATACAGCTGCCGTGGACCACGAGGCCGATGGAAGCACCAACAACGGCCTCTTCCAGATCAACAGCAGAAAGTGGTGCAAAACTCTCAATTCCGAGCTCCCTAATTTGTGCCAGATATACTGCAATGGTATATACTGCATGGCTGACCCGAGTTCGATTCCTCCGCCCCTCTCAGAGAGCCCGGCAAGCTACCGAGAGTATTTGATATGCCAGACACAGTAACAACAAAGTCTCCAATGGAGATGTTACTGGGCCCACTCGAGCAAATACTGCAATGGTAGACTACTCCTTGTTCTGTCAGCGCCCCCTGCCTTTGTTTCTGAGTGCAGGTCCCCCACAGTTTCTGGGATCTGTGGAAGGAGGGGGCAATTCATGAGAGTGGGTCCCCCATGAGACTGATTTGGGGTCCCAGTCGGGATTCTGTCCTAAGTGAGACCCCAGGGAATGGAGAACGAGGTGGGGGTTGTTGTCTCTAATAGGGGAGTGTGTGAGTCATGGCGAGATGCCAGGGCTCAACAGGGTCGAGAGAGAAGAGCGGGTTTGGCATGGAGAAGGGTGTATGTGTGTGTGTGTGTGTGTGTGTGTGTGTGCATGCGTGTGCATATGCATACACATGTGTTTGCGAACACAGGTGAATATGTGTACAGGTGCACACATGTGTTTATTGTGCATGTGCATGCCTCAGCATTGTATGTATATGTATGTGTGCATGTGCATATGGTATGCATATGTATGTGCATGTGTACACGCATGCATGTGTACACGTGTGCATATGCATGCATGTACATGCACACATGCATGCCATGTGCATGCTTGTATATGTGCATGTGTGTGCATGTATGTATGTACATGTGTGTGCGTGCCCATGCACACATGTATGCATGTGCATGTGTGTACATGTACACCTCAGCTCTGCCCTCTGCTTCCTCACCAAGTATCTCTGCCTTCCACCACAGAACTGTTGAATCCTAATCTCAAGGACTCTGTTATCTGTGCCATGAAGATAGTTCAACAAGCCTCGGGATTGGGTTCCTGGTGAGTCATTCAGGGAGCAGTGCCCACTGCCAGGGAGGTGGTGGTGGGGTGCTGTAGCTAACTGGGAAGGAAGCCTCTTGTTCCCTTTGCTCTTTTTGTCCCCGGCACCAGGCATGGCTTCACAGTGTTAGGAGCATGAAGAGGCAGGACTGGGCCAGGAGCGCTGGCCGGCTCCCCTCACTGCCTCAGGGAGGGACCCATTGCTGAGGCCCAGCCTGGTCTGGCTCTTCCCCCACTTGCTTGAGCTGCAGACTGCTTCAGTCAGGAGTCCTATGACCCCCTGTGGGACTCCAGGATAGAACAAGGGGCCACAGGTGACAATCATGTGAATGGGGGGCAATGCCATGAGACCAGGGACCCAAGTGGAAGAATGGGGGTGGGGGGCCCAAGAAAGAAACAAGGTTGAAGGGGCCACAGTTGGAGAAAGGCTGAGAAAAAAATGCTCTGGGGCAAAGCAGCTTAAACTCTTTCTCCTGAGGACCACTTCTCCCCTGAGAGAGTTTTGCTTATCTCCAGCTTTATAGATAAAACAGGCATATACACCAAATACTGACAATAGATCATTCAGAAATTCATTTCAAAGTAACATTTCAAAAGCGTTATATGACCCTCTATGGTTCAAAAAGCTAAACTCTAGATCTAGATCTCTTTCTTTCTTTCTTTCTTTCTTTCTTTCTTTCTTTCGTTTTTTCTATTGAATTAAATTTTATTTTTGAGTTGTTCACAATAGTTTATTACATTCAATATTCCATCACAATCCTGACACCATTACACCATCCCACCATGATTGTTTTTTCAACTTTTTCCACCACTGCTCCAACCTGCCCCAAAAGCACATATTAAGTAAATTATTTTGTATTGCTTGCTATAAATAATCTGCTACAAATGATCCAAAAAAGTTTCCTTAAGGGAAAGTGTGTGAAGAGAGTTGTATCTCACCTGGAGCCATTATGCTCTTGTATAAGAGGTTACTAACACGTTGTTTCAGGTTGCCTCTTATGTGCTAATACACACAGCCACACACACACACACACACACACACACACACACACATATATATCTTAAAATAGGTTGTCTTTTACATTACACCCCATCAAATGTGGTGTGCTACATCAAATGTGATGCATCGGTGGGGCAGACTACGAGATGTTGCGCAGCCACTCCAGGAATTCTAAAATTTTAAATAGAGTGTAGATCAGGTTGTTTCATGTGTGCCTTTAACAGGGGTACCATTGTCAAAACTAAATTTCATAGAAAGCCCAAGACAGGGCACTGGGAAAATGGCTCAGCTGTCAGGAACCAAGATCTGTATGTACTGAGGCTCCTGAGCATCACCAGGTGTAGCCCCAAGGACCCTGAGCACTGCTGGGGTGGCCCTGGTGGTCCCTATGAGAAGCACCATATTCTTGAGCCCTTGCATCGAACCAGGGTTTGGTTGGCTGGACACTGGTGTGCCATCTGTTCATGTTTGGGTGCCAGGCGGGGTCTGAGGCCCCCATCTGCAGTTTCTTTTTTTTTTTTTTAATTTATTTATTGAATCACTGTGGGAAAGGTTACAAAGCTTTCAGGTTTATGTCTCAGTCATGCAAATATCAAACACATTTCCCTTTACCAATACTTATTTTTTACCATGAAGAACCCCAATAAAACCCCACCCCCACCCCTCCCCGTCCCTGTGAGGCAGATGAATTCTAGTTAACACTCTATCTGCTTTGATTAGATTCATTGTTTCAATAAAAGATTCACCAAGATTCACCACTATTATTTAGAGTTTACCCCCCCCCCTCCCAAATCAGACATGTTGAAAAAGCATTGTGAAGTGATTTGCTTTCTACGGCTGGGTTCAAGAATTAAATGTTGGTTTTGGATTTCTGCTCTTTTACCTATTGACCCTGGAAGTATTTCTACTGAAAGTCAGATAGTTAAGAAATTGGTTTCTGTGTTCTGGAGTCCTGGCCGTGCCGGAGAGCCGCTCGCGGGGGGCAACCGGTGGCCTCGGTAGGGCGTGAAGGGCGGAGCGAAACGCCCCCCTTCCCATGAGGTTTTAGTCGCCCCCACACTCCCGGCTCATACCTGCTGTCCACAAGGCTCCCATGTGGCCGCCATCTTTCTTTCCAGAGAGGAGAGGGAGAATGGGGCAACACCCTTTCCCCTCCGGCAGACTTGCCCCATCTGCAGTTTCTACCCTCTTTTGTTGTTTTTGATATTCTTAGGACCTCCTCAATGTGGGTGCTCCTGATCATTGCAGGCAGTGCTAGGGGAACCGTGAGGTGTAGGGGATAGGACTTGTCCCCCCCGCATGCAGAGCTTGTGCTCCAGCCCTTTGAGAGGCTCCTTGATGTCCAGGCTCTTCTCCTGGGATTTTCACTACTCGGCGTTTCTGACCTTGACCAGGATGGCAGGCAGGGAGGGCAGAATGTGGGGAGGGTCAAATACTCTAGGTGGCTGGAGAACCCAGCTGTGGACAGATGTGCTGGTGAGAAGGACAGCAAGGTACCCTGGAAAAACATTCACAATCAGCCCAGGAGCAAAAGGCAGGGAAAGTACTGGAGGAAGGGAGGAGTCATGAGGAAGGCTTGGCAGGAGTCTGGTAAGACATACCCGGGGAACTGAAGCAGTGGTACAGCGGGTAGGACATGCTGTACCCCTACCCCTCCTTCAAGAGGAGACAGATTGGCAGTAGAAGTGGTCCCAGAAGGCAGCAGGGGTCCCAAGGCTCCCTGCCACCTGGATGCATGAAGAGCTTGTCCCTAATAGGCTGGACGCTGGTGGGTGCTAGACCTCAGAGATGGGTGACATCAAAGTCTCTGCCCTCAGTATCTGCAGGAAAGGATGAACAAGGCCAACTCCTTCTGCCTTGCATGTGGCCGACTTTGGTTCGGTCCCTGGCAGCCCATATCGTCCTCTGAGCACTTCAGGAGTAATTCCTGAGCACAGAGCCAGGAGTAATTCCTGAGCATTGCCAGGTGTGATCCCAAAAGCCAAAAATAAATAAATAAATAAATAAATAGGTATAAAATAAGACGTACCCTGGGGGAGAGGGTAGTTGGAAAAGAGAAGGGACCATTATGACAATTTTGGTTGAAATGATTGCCCTGGGTGGGAGATGTGTGCTGAAAATGGGCAAAGGACCTAACATGGTAGCCTCTCAGTATCTTTATAACAAACCATAGTGCCCAAGGGAGGACAGAGGGAGAAGGAAGAGGGAGGGGGAAGGGAGAGGGAGGGAGAGGGAGAAGGGAAAGGGTAGGAGAAGGAAGAGGGAGAGTGGGAGGGGGGGGAGAGAGAGAGAGAGAGAGAGAGAGAGGAGAGGAAAAGTGTCTACCATAGAGGCAGGCTGCGGGTGGGGAGGGGGGTAGGAGAGATACTAGTGGCGGGAAATGTACACTGATAGAGGCATGAAATAATGAAATTGATGAAATCATGTTTTCAATCATGAAAGCTTTGTAACTGTATCTCAGAGTGATCCCAAAAATAAGAAAAGGAAAAAAAGCCATCCCAGAATAGGCTGCATGTACTGCATGTATGCTTGGTAGGACAGAAGTTCCAGCCCTCGAAGCAGGAAGGGTGAATACAGACTCAGACATGTATCAAGAGTTTGAGCTCAGGGGCATCATCCAAAGTTTAAGAAATAGGTCCTTTGAGGTGAAGTCAAAAACAGTGCTCGTCTGCACACTAGGAGTGAACTCCTGGACGACAGCCCCCACCCCTCCTTCAAGAGGAGACAGATTGGCAGTAGAAGTGGTCCCAGAAGGCAGCAGGGGTCCCAAGGCTCCCTGCCACCTGGATGCATGAAGAGCTTGTCCCTAATAGGCTGGACGCTGGTGGGTGCTAGACCTCAGAGATGGGTGACATCAAAGTCTCTGCCCTCAGTATCTGCAGGAAAGGATGAACAAGGCCAACTCCTTCTGGCTGGCAGGTCCAAGGAGGCTCACATTTGGTCATGGGGCTTTTGACCTCCATGTCCACGAGAATTCTCATCATCCACGGTTACTAGGGGACATGGCACCCAAAGGTGTAAGCCTTTGTTTACCTTTCTCCAGTCCTGAGTGCACAGCTGATACAAGGGCATGCTCCTGAGAAGGCCTGAAAACCATGGCTTCCTACCACGGAGAGACCCAGATTGGCGGCCAAGGCCCAGCTGGGTCTGGGGGCATGTGGCCGCTCCCTGGCCGTGTGACCTAGGGCCAGCCACTGCTCACTGCGGTCTGTTTTCACTTGAAGTAGAGTGAAGGCAGTGTCTGCTCCCAAGGGCTCTGTCGGGAGGTGAGTGAGGGCGGGGCACTGGATGTGATGGAATTGTGCAAATGACCTCATGAGCACAGCCCTTCACAGTTTGTATGATTCCATTATGAAGAACTGTGTCCAGGTGAGGTAACATTACTGCCACAAAAGCTGCATGGCAAAGGGAAAGAGCCTGGAAGCTTGGGGTGGGCTGCTGGACTCTGGGGCCCCAGGACTTTTGCACCTGCCCTTTGGGAGCATTGGAGCAGAGGACTGTGTCTCCAAGAGTAGAATAAGGACTCTCCAGTGCCCTTCTTTCCCCTTCTGACTTCTTCAGTGGGGGGCTTGGCTACTGAACCTAGTTTCTCTTGCTGCCGGGCTGTTTGTACCCTAATCTCCAGTCTGCAGCCCAAGTTCCTTCCTGTCCTCTGGGTAGGCATTGATGGTGGCCCTGACTTATCTATTCATTCCCACCTTCCATCCTCAGGGAGACCTGGCGGCATCACTGCCAGGGCAAGGACCTCAGCGACTGGGTGGACGGCTGTGACGTCTAGGACCCACTCTGCATGAGCCCGGCCACACAGCGAGCTGAGAGATGCGATTTGGTGCCTTATCCGGGCTTGGGAAGACAAGCCAACCAAATAAAGTCTAGTTTTTCAGCAGTGGGGTGCTTGGACATTGCTGCTTCCCATTGGGTTGCTGGAGCCAGAACACCTTCATAATTTTCTCCTCTAACCACTCAGGCTGGACAAAAAGCCTGCCCGGGAATGCTTGCCTCCATTCCTAGAGATATGTGTGTAGAGAAGGAACTGTCAGTCCTTCCTTGCCCACACCTGGCAGAGTTTTCTAGACCCTTCACATGGATCTATGCTTTTTTAATATTAATTTTTATTCTATTGAATAAAATGCAAGGGGCTAGAGCGATAGCACAGCAGTAGGGCGTTTGCCTTGCACGCAGCCAACATGGCCGACCCGAGTTAGATTCCTTTGCCCCTCTCGGAGAGCCCGGCAAGCTACCGAGAGTATCTTGCCCGCACGGCAGAGCCCCCGTGTCGTATTCAATATGCCAAACACAGTAACAACAAAGTCTCCAATGGAGATGTTACTGGGCCCGCTCGAGCAAATCGATGATCAACGGGAGGGCCTATTGAATCACCATGAGATAGAGCATTACAAGGTTGTCCATGATAGGGTTTCAGTCAAACAATGTTCCAACACCCATCCCTCCACCCATATTATTTCCCAGCACCAATGCTCCCAGTTTCCCTCCCATTCCCTTAAACCACCCCCCACCCTCGGCTGTCTTTATGGCAGGCATCTATGTTTGCCAGAAAGAGCAAAACCAACAAAATGACGATCACAATGAAAGCAAGGAGTCTGGACTTAGATTTGGTTTTTGGATGCACAGCAACATACATTTCACTATGAAGATGTCCCAAGTGTTGCAGGTTAATATAAATGCTCACAGTCTATTGAGAGGTGAGTTGCTGGGCTGAGGGGATAGCGCCAAAGCGTGTCATACATGTGCAAGGTTCTGAGCTCTGCTGAAACCTTGAAAATGCTGGAACATAAGAAAATGAGTTGCAGTTCACCCGGCGTTTGTATTGAGCTATTTATCTGGCAGCCTCTACCTGGGTCAGCTGTGCGTATCTGGAGGATTCTCTAGCAGCGATTTTTGTGGGCCTGGTTGCCTGGTTGCCTGGTTGCCTGGTCCTCCCGCACATAATGCCAGCGGCCACTAGGGGGCGGTGCTGGGTGTCGGGAGAGGTGCCCAGCATAGGAAATTCAGATGCTACAGAAGAGATTCAGGTACCACAGACCAGGGATGCGGGCTGCCACACGTGGGTAAAGGGAGCTAGCATCTGCATTGGCAAAAACTGCATGGGGGATGGAGGAGGTGGAGGGGGTGGGCTTCTGCGGCCTACAGGGAGAAAACTGCTGTTCTCTGCCGGCCTCAGGCTGTGTCTTCCCAAGTCTAGAGTTCATGGGCCTCAGGTCTGGGAATGCCCTGTGTGAAGAAGAAGAAAGGGGGAGGTCGAGGGAGCCCCATGGATGTGGTCGGCAGGAGCAGCAGCAGAGGAGCCCCGGGGGCTCAGTGATAGAGTCGGCCTTGCAAGCATGAGGTCGGTGAGGCTGCAAGTTGGATCCCAGGCATCACCCCCTTCCTCCTACCCCTCCCCCCATGTGTGAGTGCCTTTGTCTCAGCTGTGCTGTCGTTCCAGAACCACGACTGTGTGTGGTATCAGGGTATCTGCAATCAAAGGTGTGGGACCTCCGTGGTTGTGATAGAAATAATAAGGGAAAGGGAAAGAAAATCCAAAGGCAGCCGCAGCAAATGCGGGTATGTGAGAACCTGAGTTCTGAGTTGGGGTGGAGAGCCCTGTGGAGCAGGGTTTGACACAGCTCATTACTACTGGCAAGAAGAGGGGACAAAGGGGGCCAGAGGCTCCCTGTCCACCTTTGCCAGGTGCCACTGGCCAGCAGTCAGCGGCGTGATGTGGAACCTGGTGGGCCCTTTTCCTTCCACCGCTGGCCCATTCCCAGGGCCTGGGACACCCAGGTGACACCTTTGTGCTCCCCACCTGTGTTCCCTGTGGGGTTTGGCTTTGCCTGAGGCTCCTGCTTTGAGTCGGGCCTTAAATAACATTTAAGGGCTTCCTGGGGGAAGAATCAGCTTTTGCTGGATTCGGGCCTGATGGGGAGCTGGCAGGGCTGGGAGCAAAAGTGTTCTTCACTTGCAAGGTACGGGGGGAGGGTTACATGGTATAGGCAATGCCACTGCCATGTGGGGCTTCGCATGTGCCCTACCCCTTGCACTACCTTTCCGACCCCTGGGTCCATTCTTGAGTCATAAGGACTTACCAGCTTTTTGTTTGTTTATTTGTTTGTTTTTTAGGGTCACACCTTAAGAGCTGTTCCTAGCTTGTTGATCCAGGGTTGTCTGTGCTCAGGGGATCAAACCTGGTACTTCCACATACAAGGTATGTGGTTTACCCCCTGAGCTACCCCCGACCCCCTCCATCTGAAACCTTAGAACAATATATACAGAGGTTTCATTGTTCTCCTCACTCCACAGATAAGGAAACAGGCAGAGGGAGATAGGTGTGTATCTGAGCAATACCCATATGTCACCGCATTATCAGGGCACCTGCTCTTTCATTTATTTATTTTTCAGTCCTACTGGAACACTTTACTTTTAAGTTTCAGGAAGTTGGAGAGAGAATTCTAAGAGCTACGGATCATGCTTTGCATGCAGGATCTCCAGTTTGAAGACCCTGGCACCTCATACTCCTCCGAGCACCACAGGATAGAGTGAGGCCACCAGGCGACTTCCCAGGAGTAGTCCCTGAACATTGCAGCGGCCCCAAAACCAAAAACTCACAGAGTGGTCACACACCCCCACAGCCAGTGGTGTGACTCAGGGATGACTTCTGGCTCTGCACTCAGGAATCACTCTTGGTGGGGCCCAAGGGACCATATAGGATGCCGGGGGGTTGAACCTGAGTCGATTGTGCACGAGGCAAACATCCTATCCCCTGTTCTATCTTTCTGATCCCAACACCCCACATTTTTTTGCAGAACAAACTTGGCCAAAGGTTCGTGATGACAGTGTGGTGAAAGATGCCTCATGAGTGCCTTCCTCACTGCACTCGGCTGAGAGATGCCCGTCCCGGCCACTGCCATGCTCTCTGTGCCCGGCAAGGGAGCCCTTGCCTCCTTACATATTGATGCCCTCGAATTCACTGCAGACTTGTGTTTCCCCAGGTGCCAGGTGGCTTCCCCAGGTCCCAGGCTCAGGTGGGAAGGGCGAGGCACTTCGGACTGCAGTGAGAGCAGTGCAAAGGCCCAGGGAAGGCTGGACAGCTTCGGGATGCAGAGCTGGACCAGGGCTCCTGAAGGTCTGGCTGGGTGAATGGGATGCGGGGAAAGAGGGAAGGAGTGTCCAGGGGCTGAGTCTTGACCAATCCATTGTGGCCTCACTTGTGCCACTTGTGCTCTGGGGTGTGTAGGTCGCCCAGGACTGCAGGCAGAGGGAACTCTGGCTCTCAGCCCAGGGCTCCTGAGTAAGGGGGAGTGTCAGAATCTCCAGGCTTTTCTGGTGTCTTCGTGTAGCCCCACCCAGATCCCAAATGGTCACTGTGTCCCACTTTAACTTTGATTGTTTTACTTATCTGAACCCCCCATTTTTATCGAGGTACTACTATTTATAATACTGTTAATTGTAGTTTCATGCAGACATCATGCCAACACCATACCCATCACCAGAGTGTCCACCTTCTTCCCAAGCACCCTTCCCACGCCCCATCCCCAAACCCAGGACTATAAACCAACTCTCCAGTTCAGATGCGTTTGCGGTGCTCAGGGCTTACTCCTGGCTTTCTGCTCAGGGATCACTTCTGCCATTGCTGGGGTACCAGGTACTGAACCTGGGTCTGCAGCGTGCTAGGCAAGCACCTAACCTGCCGCACTCTCTCTATTCCTGCCTGTGGTTGTTTGTTGTTCCCTGACTGTGTTTCTTTAGAGCCTACGTATGAGAAAGGCCCTTTTCTGGATCATGGAGGTGACTGTCATACATACAGCACTGTAGCACCGTCCTCCCGTTGTTCATTGATTTGCTCGAGCGGGCACAGTAACATCTCCATTGTTGTTACTGTGTTTGGCATATCAAATACGCCACGGGTAGCTTGTCAGGCTTTGCCTTGTGGGTGAGATACTCCCAGTAGCTTGCCAGGCTCTCCAATACGCACGGAGGAATCGAACTCAGGTCGGCCGGGTCGGCTGCCTGCAAGGCAAACGCCCTACCCGCTGTGCTATCTCTCCAGCCACACATGTACAAAAGATAAAGCTAAACTTCTGTGATTCCACAAAACTGTAAATCAGTGATAAGTTGATAAAAAATCTTTTTCTTTGTCTAAAACTTTGTAAAGCACAGTGCTTTAACAAAACTTTTTAAAAAAGAAAAAAAGTATTTTTTTCCCAAAACTCCTTTTCACATACATTAAGCTAAAATAGTAAGAATGATTAGGTGCTAACACATTTTAAAGTTTACGTGAAGCAGTACATCCTAACAATGTAGCAAGAGTGAGAAAAAAAATTTAAAACTCTTAAAGGAAAATCTGAATAGCCTATAGAAGTAGAAAAATGTGTTTTATTCTAAAAAAAGGTAATATAGGTTTTATGTTAGAAAATAATATTTTAGCATTGTAATAACTCTGGAAGCTGTCCCTTCCTCTTTATCCCATAAACCATTGCTTTAATTATTAATTTCTGCTTGATTTGTGGGGTCCACACCTCGCCGTGCTCAGGGGTCACTCCTGGCTCTGCACTCAGGAATTACACTTGGCAGTGCTTAGAGGAACACATGGGATGCCAGAGATCGAACCTGGGTCATCCACATGCAAGGCAAACATCCTACCAGCTGTACTATCTCTCTGACCCCCTTGTTAATATTTTAATGAGAAAAAAAGGATATTTTGGTGTATATTTGGTCTATGTCCGGAAGTGCTCAGGGGCTATCCCAGCTTGGCATTCCGGGACTTCTCACCATGCTCAGAGGGATAACATGGTGCTGGAGATTGAACCCGGGTCTCCT